AAGAAAATTGATTCCACACCCAACCCCATACTTTTGCCTTTGCCCAAAGTTATTTTTGTTTAAAAAGGGTATTTATTTAGCCAAATTAAAAAAGAAATGGAAATCTCATAATATAACATGTATTTTTTTAAAGATGTATTTATTTATGCACATAAGAACTGGGCTACAGGCCTGAGGTGCAGGGGGTGAGAGGATTCACCAGAGACAGGAGTGGGGAACAGAACAGGCAAACTGACTGAAATACACTGCTGAGGGGACCAGCAGGAGACAGGAGAGGTCTGTTGTGCCATGTGGGTAGTTCACTGGCCGCCCTCGACCGAACTCGTGTTGCCGAGGCTGTGGATAGATTCACAGTGCTGTACTTAACACCTTGTGCCACCAGGGTAGCCCAATATAACATGTTTTGTAATTTATTTAAAACTTTATAAAATATTTCTTAAGCTCAACTTACCTTGTTACTCAGCAAGAATAAATTTTGCTGCAATTTCAAAGACTTCCTTGTAAATTTAGAGTCTACCATTTTTTAAATGATTTAGTCTTACTCAGTTAGAAATATGTTCAGATCCCACAACAGTCAAAGGCTTGGCTTTGTAGCATCAGTAAATTGGTTTCTCAAAGCCCTTAAACAGTATAAGCCATGTTAAATTTGGTAATATCTCTGCTTCAGGGAAATATTTTATGTGGTAAATGCATATCTGTTACATTTGGTTAAAATTTTAGGCTTTCTGGGAAGTTTCTGTGGCATAGATCAAGTGGCAAAAAGGGTTGTCTCTATCCCAGCGAGTCACTCTAGTGGAGAAAGCCAGGTCCAGGGTTCCCGTGCAGGAGACTGTTGGCAGCAAAGCACCCTCTTTGTGGCTCTGCACCAATTGAGGTGCTTTGCTGTTACCTGTCTCTCATGCTGGGATTGGACAAAAAGAAGAAAACCCTGTGGCTGAGGCAATCATCACTTGCTGCTTATAGTTTGTAAGTGATCAATAACAGCAGGTTTAAATATTGTGGTATGCATTCATTTTTGAAAGCAGTTTTCAGAGATATACAATACCTCTGAGAAGCAGCATGATATAGAAATCATTTCTTTAGAGCACATATTTAAAGTGATGTCTTTTTATTTCATTTATTTCATCTTTCTGTTTTCTATGAATTGTCTTTTCTTCTGTGTTTATTACGGTGATTATTCTTTTGGAATTTTAATACAATATATTCCCTAGATAAGATCTGTTGTGCTACTTGTGGAGGCTAAGGTTCACAAAACATTGAATTCTATCTTTAAAATGTCTGCATAGCAAACACAAGTGGTTGATATTTGAAAATGCTGAAATATCAATAACTATTTTATATTTTGTAGTTATAGGCTCTATATTCTTTCATGATTATTTCTTGGCTAGAGTAGCTCTTTTCAACATTTCAATCATTTCTATTGATTACAACAATAATTTTCCAACTCTTTTTTTGTATCAGGGATAATTTATCTGGCAGAACAAAAGTTGCCTTAATTATAACAAGGAATGTACAATGTGGTTTAGAGCCCAAAAACTTAAAAAAAAAACCTGAAGATCAAGTGATGGGCATTGCCCCCTATTATAAGAGAGTAATTTCATTCTCAATAATGATGTAAAATACGTTTGGTGTGTTCTTCCTGAAATTTTTCAATAACATCACCATTGAGAGTAATTCTCTTAAATATCATAAAACAGTCCGCCAGTCAAGGTTAATAAATTCTCAAAACAGACGGGTGAAATTTTTGTGGACAGATGTTCAAGAATGCAATTGCTTCTTCCTTCCTAACCCTCATTTAGTATAGGAAGAAGTACAGGTTTTTCTCAATGGAGATAAGGAAAAGTGTCCAGCTAGCCTCCTGTTAGCTCATGCAGCTTAAATAGAAAAAATGCAAGATAGAAATAAACATAAATAAACATAAGACATCTCTGGAGAAAATTAAATGGGTGTGTATCTCCCCAATTTTTGAATTGATGTGTGTGTTTAAATAAAAGTTTACTATTTTAATACTTTCTAGATTATATAATGAAATTTACATATACTGAAGAGTCTTAAATTGTTATATTCTTTCTGATAATGCTAGGTTTCAAAATAAAATATCACCCATTGAAAACTCAATTTTGAGTTTTAGAATTTTCTTTGTTACTATAAAGCAGCATATGTTTCATCTATACCACAGTTTACTCAGAGCGGTGACTCTCTGGAGAGACATGAAGCCACTTAATCTACTGCTGTCTGCTCATTGGAGATTCTTAATACACAGGAGTGTCCCTACCTATATGCATACCCAAGACTAAAATAATACTAATAAGATGATTTGGTAACTCTTGACAGATGCACACACACATGTCTTTTTTTGTTGTTGTTTATTTTTTTGCAGAGACAAATTGGGATGTAGGGCAGAGGTGGGGGTGGGGAGGTGAGAAGATTCACCAGAGACAGAGTGGGGAGTAGAACTCAAACTCACTGCTAAAGGAGCAGCGGGTGAGACAGGAGAGGTCTGCTGTGCCTTGTGGGTCAGCTCCCTGGCAGGGGATTGTACTCAGGCCATAGCAGTGATAGTGCTGAGATTTAACTCCTGAGGCACCAGGGAGGCCCTACACATGTCTTAAATGTCCAGTAGTACATATATAGTAGACTGGTCACAAATGCTCACTTCCATTATGACTAACTAATGTAACTTTTATGTAAATCTTGTAACCTAAGCATTTTAAAGAATTAAAAATACTAGTTAACAACTATTGGATTAATGGCAGTATAGAAAGTATGTAAGTATGGCAACACAAGTAAATATGATAAAGTATACCTCTCACATTTCAAATTTTTTATAGAATATTGTTTCCAGGTTTACTTATATGTATTTGGCATTCCAGAAAGATGTTATATTCATACTCACCACCAACAGTATTATATATTTGAACTCTTAATACAAGCTGTGGATTACTAAATATAAACATGGACTTTACTTATTAAAAATATACCTAATATATCGGGATTTTTTATATATATATATTTCTAAATGTATATATTTGGAAACATGCTGCTTTGTAGTAACAAAGCAAATTCTAAAACTCAAAATTGAGTTTTCAATGGGTGATACTTTATTTTGAAATCTAGCATTATCAGAAAGAATATAACAATTTGATTTTTTTGTATAACAAATATACTAAAAGCTTCACATAATGATAGTATTAAGAGAACCATACCTATTTTACCTTATTCATAATAACTTCAATTTATTGAGTGTAACTCAATATAGGTATACTGGTAGAATTTTAAATTTTTTCTTTAAATCTTATACAAGGGAGAAGTAGGTATTACTCTCTCCATTTTGAGTAAGGCCTCTTAAAGTTATATAAAATGTATATTAATACTTATATTAATATATATTATATTAATAGAAATGGGATTCAACTCAGACTTTCTGACTCCAGACCACGTCTCCACATCTTGTTCATCCACCTTTTCTATGCATTATAACCTTAAATATCTATAGACACAGTTATATATATATATATCACATATATAGTTATATATATTTATATATAGATATATACATTATATATCTCTATATATATATATGCTAAAGGAAATAGAGAAGCCTGTCGAACATTTGACTGCAAAGCTGAAGTATTGAGAGAATAGATAGTCAGTAGACAGAGAATTTTTCAGTAGAGCAAATTATTGAAAGAGCCCAGGATGATAAAAAGAACATAAAACTTGTGACAAAGGGATGTGATTGTATGAAAAAATGAAGAAGAGGTGGTTGTAGCTGGAGTCCTATGGGAAAGGATAAATATGGCACTTATACAGAGAATTGACAGAGGTAGGAAAAGATAGAAGCAGCTTGATGTGTACGGTGATGTTAGAAGAGTTCAGACCGGAAAGATAATGGTGGCTTCAACTATGTAATAATAATATACATATTATTCAACTAAATAATAATTTCTGAGTAACCCTCAGTTTTTTATTTATTTTCAGGAGGTATAGGCAAAAAAATAAGTTAGTTTTGGAAATTACAGTCTTGATAATCATTTTAGACTCTGGCTGAGAGATTGAAAGGGATGTTTGCATGTAGGAGTTAAGGTTCAAGGGAGAAATTTGAACAGGGAAAATAAATTTAGAAGTCTTCATTATAAAATTAAAACTGAAAATGTGGGTATTAAATGAGGTTACCTAGGAAGTACTTATCAATATTGAAAATGAAAGGGTCAAGGGAGAGATCAGGTGTTATCAATTGTAAATCTGGAGGAGATAGCTACTACAGAGACTAACGAGGGGTATGGGAAAGAAGTGTCTTTGGTACAAAGTGATAGTTTTCAAGAAAAGGTCAAATCTGTCAAATGCTGCCTAAAAGTTGAGAACATGATTGGTTCTTAGATATTTCAATGAGAAGGTCATTGATGATTTTCACAAAAGCTGATTTAGTGGATTTCAAGGGTGATAAAAAGTTTATTGGGTTGAGTTGAAAAGAGTAAGAGGAGAGGAAATTGAAACAAAGCAGACAACTATAAGAAAATTTTCCATTATATTGACAAAACAGATTCACAAGAATGGAATGTGAGTTTTAAGATGTATGCCGTCCTTGATATAAATAGTAACTTAAGAGTCCATCTTGTATTCGGGAATCCAATATTGCATGGATTTGTAAGCATTCTTAGTGCTCAGTACCAGATTCTTCAAATTTTAATTCTATATTATTGGTTGTCCCATTGTTTATGAAAATAAATAGCTTTAGTGGTCCTTAATAACTTAGAGTTGTACCTGAATGCATAGGGACAATTCCATTTGCCTTTTTTCATGTTCTTTAAGTGATATTTTGCTCATACAGTTGTCATATATGTTGAGCCATTTGAAAGGAATAGTTGTCATATTATTCACTAGAAACTCAATTTAGAAACTTGGGCTCAAGTTTGTAGTCCTGAAATTCTTTTGTATGTTACCCCTTCTAGTAACAGTAAAATAGCATTTTTATAAAAGTTCTCTTTTTTTCCTTACAGGAAAGATTAACAACAGTGAAAAAAGAAAAGGGTGGTTCTCAGCAGCCAAACAAAGTGACTGACAAGAACAAAATGCAAAGAGCCAACTCTGTTACCATGGATGGGCAAGGTTTACAGGTATTTCTTTTGAAATTCAAATGTTAATAGATTTTGTAATCATTACTTCTATGCTCTTATAAAGGCATATGTCCAGCTATCAACACATTTATTTAATATGAAGATTAGCTCAGTAAACGACTTTAGAAAGATCTTATTAATTTATCCAGATGTCAGTTTTATAGTTGATTGACAGAGTGACATTGTGATTAAATTTATCATTTAGGATATCTCCATTTAAATTCAAACTTGTAAGAGATCTTTGTCAATTTGAAGATTTTGCAAATTATTACTAAATATACATTACTGTATACATATGTATCATTTATTTCTATACTTTCTCCATATATATCTCTTGGAAGAGTCATTTGGTTATAAGAACAATGTCATTGAGAATGAATAAAATGAACTATATTTATATGGATATTTTGTTTTAAATGAATAATACATATAAAGAATATTAATAAATTATCCCTAACTTCCAAAGTTTTTTTTTTTAAAAGATTTATTTATTTATGTAAGTGCTGGGTACAGTCAGAAGCGCAGGAGGGTGAGAGAATTCACCAGAGCCAGAGCAGGGAGCAGAACAGGCAGATGGACAAAATACTCTGCTGAGGGGAGCAGCAGGCTGCAGGAGAGGTCTGCACACCATGTGGGACCCTTGCCCTGCGGCTGGGGATCGAACTGGCGTTGCAGAGGCTGTGGGCAGTTTCGCAAGCCAGCGTTCAACCACTGCGCCATCGGGGAGGCCCCCTAACTTCCAAAGTTTTAAGTAAAAATTGGAACCCCAACTATATTTCTAGTGCAAATAAACACAGTTTAGTTCTTTGGAAAGCTCTGTATTTTCCCTAACATCTCTAATATCAAGATTTAGATGTGTTTTGATCTAGCTTTTAAGATGTCTTATAGATAGAATGCATTATATTTATATCTGCTGCTTCTCACCCCAACAGAACAGTCAATGAGGTGGCTTAATCTATAAAATTGCAAGTTTTTTTTCTTTTTTTTGTCTATCTATATTCTCTCTACCTCAATTTCCAATTTCTTTTTTTAAGTAGATGCTTCAAGTTTTATGTTCTCCAGGAAACCTTATCAACCATTTACACATAGAGATAAAGTTTTTCACATGCTTGCAGACAATATACACGATTTTTTTCATTTAATATTTTTTCTTTTATGTTATGGATTATGTTTATTATTGTCCTTAATTTAGTCATAGTTTAGGGCATACAGTCATTGTCTAGCTTTCTTTGTTTTGAATAGTTCATTGAAAATTTAATAATTATTGTTTAAATAATAATAAACAGGTTACCACATTGTTTGATCCAATAGAAACATATGTTACAAATAGAAATTTTTTGAAAAATATTTATTTTTATTTATTTATGCATATAAGAACTGGGGTGTAGGCCAGAGGTGTGGGGGGTGAGAGAATTCACCAGAGATAGAGTGGGGTACAGAAGAGGCAGATCTATTGAAATACACTGCTGAGGAGAGCAGTGGGTGAAACAGGAGAGGTCTGCTGAGCCATGTCGGTCAGCACCCTGGCTGGGCATTGAACTCGTGTTGAGTAGCTGCTGATAGCTTGATCGTGCTTAGACTTAACCCCTTGTGCCACCAGGAAGGCCCTCAAATAGAAAATTTTAATGTTTTTTTAATAAAAATATAAAAAAGAATTTCTGAACGATAAAATTATTACATTGTTTAAAGAGCATACAAATTAATTTTCGAACTAATGTATTAGGATCTGTGCTTTCTAGCTGTCACATCTGTGTGGTAGCAATCTCATTTTAATATTTCAAATAGGAAATCTATCCTCAATTTTGATAACAAAAAAAAAAACTTAAGTGCTATGATTATTTTATTTAAAAATCAACATTTGTATATTAATGCATTGATTGCAAATACTGATTCAATTAACTCTTTGGTTACTGTGGTTCCTGCAATAAATATAATGAAATGGAATCCTAATTTTGAAACTCAAGTATAGTTCACATAGGCTAGGCACATACTTATGGAAGGGAAACATGCAACATTTGTTAAACAGCCTGTGATAGATACTATGATAACAATTATATGTGTGTGTGTGTCTATACATACATATATATTAGCCTGTATAATTCTCTCAGCAAATGTGTGAGATAAACATCATTATTATTACTGTCATTGTCAAAAAAGAGTATAGTGATGTTCATAAGTAAAGTAATCCCACTGCATAATCACTGGTAACACCAAGGTTTGAATGAGGATCATCTGACTTAGTGTTTGTTTTTTATTCCTAAAATACCCAATCTCCTTGGTTAACAAACTCTAACATATACATGTATATATAAATGGTAAGTTTTTGACCACTTCCTTTTTCTGTGTACTTTTGTATTGTTGCAGATTTTGAGCTCAAAATCATGTATGCATAAGAAATGAAACTTCTCTTGTCTCAGTTTCCTAAGATGTGGATAATCATACCTGGTTTAACCAGACATTAAAACCATCATTAAACTTCATGTAGAGTATTACAGGTTTTAAAATACATAGCAATGTAGATTCTATTTTATTTTTATTCAAAAAGAATCTGAAATGTTCAACCACATACAACTAAATTAGTCATGTTAAAATTAAAAACAAGATGATTAACTTTCTCTGTGGATGAATTGTATTTCTCTAATCAGATTATAGCTTTTCTTAACTTTCTTTGGCATATAAAAGGGGGATTGCAAATGTATGAGGAATATAAAAATAAAATTTATTAATTAAAAAAAAGAGAAAAAAAAATAAAAAATAAAAGTGTCAGGTAAAGTTGTCAGTAAGCAAAGGATAGATATCAGTCCTTAAAAAAATTGAGTAAATAGATATTATCATAATTATTATCATCATTTTTAATAGAAAAGGGATATATAATCATGTGCAATAGTCTGTTTCAACTCCATGGAATGAACTAAAATATGATACATATAGGTATTCATGTAATTTTGGAGAAATTGTAAAATATAAAATAATATATTCTTAAACAGCTATTTCATCTAAAATGGAAATAGTAATTTTATATTGTGGTAAATGATATAAAAATACTAATGTGATTGTTCTTTATCAGGAAAGACAAAAAGATCTGCCAGATAACTATTTTTTTTCTGTTTTAAAAAATATATATCATCAAAAAGCATTGAGTTGCAGCCCAGTTACATATAACTCAGTGACAGAAGAGATCTACACTGCTTAAAGAAGACTATTAATCATAGTTAAGCACATTCATCTTACTTCTTTCCAGCTAACCAGCATAATGATCAGGATTATTATTTCTAATTAGAGGAAGTAATAGATCATGTATAACCTTAGGATGAGTCTCATTAATTAACCCAAGTCCTAGGGGACTTCAAATAGAGGTGGTTAGGCACTCTGTCTTTGTCATCGCTCATACCATAGGTTTACACTTACCACATATGATCAAATGTAAGTGAAACTACAATCTCTTAACATGCAAGAAATGTAAAAATACAGATTTTAATCTATATATGAACAAATAAGTCAAAAAACAGACCTATTGTTTAAACTGAATAAAGCTGAAGTTACCATGTCTCTAATTAATCTTTGAGGAAAATCTCCAAATAAAAGATCACTTGAGAAAAGTCTAGTTTGTAGCAGGACAAAAAGGGATCATTATACTGAAATACCTAAAACTGAAGCAGTCTTGTCTGTGACAACTATTTCTACCTATCACTAGTGTCTTTATTTGTAATACTATCTCATTCATATAATCACCAGAATTATATATACACACACACACACACATAAATACATACATACATACATACATACATATGATTATATATAGTTGTAGTGTGTTTGTATATATATTTCTTTCCCTTTCTTTTATTGGGTGTGTGTGTTTGTGTTTGTGCATGTGTGTGTGTGTGTGTGAGATACCGTGGTATCCTCAACTTTGAAGATGCTTTCGTAAGTATTTCTTCATTGTCATTTAACTTCCTAAATCCAAAATTACTACTCTATAATTCAAGTATTACAACAACCTTTAATCTAAGGCCCTGTCTCTGGACATATAATTATGAGATTATAAATGATATAAGAGGAATGGAACTGAGTAAGAAAACAAGTGTCAGTGCTGAGAACTAACGTTTTCTATGAGCTTAAGATGACCAGATTAGACCTCACCAAGGTGTTGACCCATTCATCTCAAGTAATGGAGTTGCCATTAACTGTTATGGAGAAATGTCTGTGAATAAGGTTTGGAGAGAAATTTATGATGCTGTTGGACATCCAAAAGGAATGTCAAGTAACATAACATGACATGTTATGTCACTTGACAATGACAGGCAGATATGTGAATCTAGAACTAATGAGAGAAGACAGATATGAATTAGGAAATGAAAGGCATGTTATGGCACTTAAAGACATAAGATTAAATGAGGTCACTCAGAGAGAAAGGAGTTATTGAAATGGGATCCTAAGTAAGTTTGACTCTAATATACTCTTTAATATCAACTCAATGAAACTGTCCTCAATATTATGTGAGTAAATAAGATTTCATATTATTATCTCTATACTCTGTCAAGGAGAATCTGGTATGAACTGTTTCCTTCTGGAGTGCCTTTCACACCTGTTTTATGACCATTCTTCAAACTCCAATCTTAGGCTATTTAAATTACAAAAGAATTTCAAGTGCCATACTCACTATAAAATCTTTCTTGAACATGTTCTCCTGTCATCAGTATGTTTTCTGTCAAATTATATATTCCTATAGCAGTGTTTCTTAAAAACTGTTTTGAGAAGCCCAGGATCTCTAGAAATTCCTGAATCATGGCAGTGAATGATTGGAATCTAGAAGAGGTTAAGGGTTTTTTCATCCTTCAAACAGAGCAACTCATCTTTTTTTCTGTTTTATATACTGTACCACTTCAAACTATTTCAAATTTTGCTATATAAGTATTTACATTCAAGAACAAATAATTTTAGGCTAACAGAATGTTTCTGTATTTGTGTTTTTACTTTTATCACCCCACTTGGACATTCTAAATTGGTATACTAGTTTAGAATGTCAATCCAAATTTCAAAATAACTTTTTAGATAATATTTAGAAATTATTTATTAGTTAAAAATTTGAATTTCATCTTGTTGAAGACTATTAAATATTAAATACAGTTCAAAAAAAGAGTAGGTGACGAATATAAAATTAATACATTAGTGCTACCTAATCCTTAGAACCCACTGACATTTCACCAATTGTCCCACTAATGATTTCATAACAAAGGAAGTATGCTGACATATATCTAAGGAGTGTTTTGTTTGTTACATGCTGCAGAACCTAATTGCAACTGATATGAAAGACAAGATGTATAGGGGCAAAAATTGGATACATTTACACATACATGTTGTAAACCCATGTTATCTCAATTAAAAAAATGAAATAAGTGGAAAAACAAAAGTAATAGCTAATCCACAATCATGTTAATGTCCTGATTTTGACTTCTGTTCTTACTTTATGTAAGAGAATGTGGTTGAGTGTAGCAATCCTAAAGTAAATGAGAGTGACAGAGCATTACTTTGACAACTTTCTCTTATAAGACTAGGAAAAAAAAATTGTATGGTTCATACCTCTTTTATGTAAATTTGTTTGAAAGTATAAAACTAAAATATCACTGAAAATGTGTGATATTATTTTATTTTCACAAATTTTATTCACCAAAATTAGATATACTGTTTCAAAGACTACATTGCTTTAGTCTATTTAAATACCTGTAAGTATATACAATTTGCACTATAATGTAAAAATAGCTTCTCTAGATTTAGTTCTAAATTCTAGAATTTCTTTCCTTATTTAGTGTTCTTTAGGAAACAGGGTATAGAATAAACTAGATTAAATTAATTAATTGAAATATCACATCTAATAATTATATGTTCCTTATTTCAATTAAGTATTCAAAAGATTTACTGAAAATGATTGTGTCCATATACAATAATGAAAGAGCACAGTGTAAAATAAAATAAAATATAAGGACAATTCATGATTTTGATATGAAATGTTTGTTGTTTACTCAAAGCCTAGAAATATTGATATGTCTGCTGAAAAACAGAACTTCTGTGCCTGGTTCCATATGTATCCAATTTTTGCCCCTATACCTTGTCTTTCATATCAGTTGCAATTAGGTTCTGCAGCATGTAACTAACAAAACATAACAGTGATGTAGACAAGACAGCCATACCTTTTTCTCTTATGTAAATGAAGTCCAGAAGTAGGGTTAATAAGAACAACTTCCCATTTTCATCAGGGTTGCTGCTATCTTTCCTTTCCTCCATCTGTGACATCTTTAAGTTCATCTCATGATCAAAAATCATTGTTGGTCCTCATAATCTCAAATTCTATGCTGGTTTCAGAAAAAGATGACCAGAAAATCTTCCCTTTTTAAAGACCATCTCTTGAGTTTCCATAGGGCACTTCTATATTAGTCAGCTCAAACCACTATAAAAAAATACTGTGGATTGGATGGCTTAAACAACAGGTACTTATTTCTCACAGTTCTAGAGCTGGAAAGTAAAGACCACAGTATTCTCAAGGTAAGTTTCATTCTGAGCCCTCTTCTGTGGGCCCGTAGGTGATTACCATCTCTCTCTGTGCTTGCAGGGCTGTGTGTGTGTGTACTATGTGTGGTGTGTGTGTGTGTGTGTGGTGTGTGTGTAGTGTGGAGAGAGCAATGGAGAGCTCTCTTGTCATCAAGGCCACTAATCCCATCATAATGCTCCCACCCTCATGACCTCATTAACCATAATTGTCTTCCAAAGGCCCCATCTCCAATTACCATCCCATTGGGGGTTATGGCTTCAACATATGGATTAGGGGAGACATAGTTTAGTCCATAGCAACTTCTAGTAATAGCTCATCAAACAAAACATAGACACATTTTTTAAATTCAGATTATTTCTTTGTACCCTTACATGATGAAACACCAAAAGTCACAACTTAAAACACTTTACAAAGAAATTGTCTATCAATCAATCAATCCATCTATCTATCTGCAACAATAAGAGCCACTTCCAAGATGCAGGTGTAATGGGTGAGGGCAGACCTTCAAAATTGCTCCCTGCCCAGAGTTCTTTTGCTATGGTTAAAAAAGTACATTGAAAATTGAGGTGCAATGTAGAGAAACAAAGTAGGTGAAGGGTAAAGCTGTTTTTGATAGGGTAGTTCAGAAATCTTACATTTTACCTGACTTCAGTGCTACAAGATAAACTCCTAAAAGTATTCCCATTAAATACACACCAATGTAACTCCCATCTCAACACATTTTGAGAAAAAAAAATGTTAATAAGCAATCAATAGAGCCCTCAAAATATTAAGTTGGGAAATTTTAAATTAATGTACTTTTTGAAAGAGGACTCAAGATGTCTCTGACTGCTATTATTTCTCCCCTAGAAAGTATTCTAAAACATTTAATTAAATAATTAAAAGCCACCATTTCACTATATCATGTCCTTCCTCTTTGTTTAAACAGTTTAAGTGAAAATGTTCTAACATATTTCCCTCAAAGTCTTAAGTCTTAAGGAGTTTATCTTGTAGCACTGAAGTCTGATAAAGTATTAGCATTCTCCTGAACATTCCTATCAAAAACAGCTTTACCCTTCACCTACATTCGTTTCTTTACATTTCACGTATCACTACTTTTAATAAATATGTTTGGTTTCTTTGTTTATTATGTTTCTTCACTAGAACATAAAATCCATTAGGACAGGAACTGAAATTCTTAGTCCAAAAGGGGTCTCACCAAACTTACTGAGATTCTTGTTTACAAGATGTTGTGAAGATGGATTCCACATAAGCCACAAAACTTTAAAGTAGGGGTTGACTATAAAAATAGAACTCTATAATTTGGTTCTTTGCTTCAAATCTTTTTTTCCTCACTCAATTCTGATTTATTCTGTTTTCACTCACTGCCTAACTAACTGTGCCCTTTGATTTCATCTCATGTAGCTGTTCAAATATTATTCCCTCTACACAGTGGCCTTCCTTCCCCTCTGCCCTATATCGAGCTAGATTCAACTTCTTTGTGGAATGACTGTATACATACATACAAAGTGCACAATTCCATTTTGGATGTGCTTGTACACATCAATATTAGCTTGATCCACAATTACACAATTTAGATCTATTAAGATAAGATATTTAATTAATTTTATACTGGTATTTAAAAAATAAGCCATAGGGTTTAATGGAATTACTTATCTGTCTACCTGCCTACCTTCCTGCCTACCCTCCAGATTATAGGAAAAGCCATAGTCTTCAAATCACTTACTGTCATTTCATGACATAGAAATAACTAGGCCCTCTTCATCTATAATGTGAATAATTTGTCCATATATCTAAATTTTCTTCTAGATCACTCCTGTTCCTGGTACTCATCCACTTTTAGTTTTTGTGAATCCCAAAAGTGGTGGGAAGCAAGGAGAACGGTATGTTTTTTCTATTTCTTATATATATTTATTAAAATTACATATAAAACATTAAAGACAATATTTTTCATGCTAGAATTATATGTACATAAAACTGATATGGTCTCTTAGTTGAAAATTTAATATAATAATGATCTTTTGTAAATATTTTTATTTTCATGACTCAGGTATTTGAATTCTCTCTATCCTCCCTAACCCCTAGTTTTTAACAAAGATTTTTGCAGATATCATGGCTTCATAAATACTGTTGAATGAAAATTGGTTCTCTAAATGGTCAACCAGGTAACTTCAGGTAAATTATGACCCAGCACTGAACGATAGAATTCATATCCAGTTTCTAGACAAAATATATTATGATTTTCTGTATGTGCATTTTGGAGAATATGATGCTATATTTTCTGGACTAGCACAGTGTATTTAATCTGAAAAATAATAAACTGCATTTACAGGTGTCTCAGTATGCTGGAGGATAACTCAAAGTTTTAATTTTATAATAAATTGATGATTATACCTAATAGTAAAAATTGGAAATAGAAATCTTATGTTCATTTAAAAATAAAATCACATACAAAAGTTCAGATGTTCTGTGTTAATAATTCTTAGAATTCTTCAATAATCCCGACCAAAAAAGTAGCAAACAGATAAAAACATTCATGTAAACATTATGATAATAAACAGAAATTTTCTCTGTGGTCCACCAAATGATGAAATTGAAATATTACATGAGTGATGGAATTCTGTCAATTTGTTTTCTTGCCTTTTTAACATTCAATCTTCATTTCAATGAAATGAGTAGATTTTTATTTCTAATAAACAAAATATTACATCTGCTTAAAAAGTTTTTTATCCATCTGTTTTTACCTTACTAAGCATAATAGAAATTATTTTAAATAACTAATGATTTAATAAATTTAAATATTTATAATTCTTTATCAAACAGAATAGTTACCTCACTTTTAGAGATATCAAATAGTATTTAAATAGTAATACTGAAGTTATTTCTCCTTTTCTACTCACAGTCTGTCATGTGTCTACATTATAGAATCTTGAAATATGGATTTCTAATTCACAAAGAATTAGATAAGATTTAAATTCATGGTGGAAATTAGAGAAAAATGAGGTTTTGAAAGAAAAGTAAAGTTTTTTTAAAAGAATAAGCATTTCTCTCAAATGAAATGCATTAATCATGAAGAATTAATCTTAATTGAATATCTGCTTTTCTCCTAGTATATAAAAATAATTTTCTTTAAATTAAAAAAATGTAGATAGATACAATTTCATAGCTAATTGAAACTTATGGGAGTAGAGAATATTTTCAGTATTCCCAAAACTTATGTTTTGTCATTTGTACACTAAGAGGGACCACTCAAATTCAAAAAATATATAAATATGTTTTTAAAGGAAATCTATTATGAATGCAAACATAAGTTTCCCTGAATGCTTAAGAGTCATCTTTCAACAACAGTGGAATTTTATTCAGGGTTTTAATTTCAAAATATTTTGAGGTTTTAACTTTCATGTATTAGATAAATAGCAAAAGTTCACATAATTGTGTGTTCAGAGTTTCCCCAAACCAACCAATGGGTATGAATGTGTTCCTGCATCATTTTTTTCATATAGATAGAGAGCAATACCTGAGTGAAACCAAACTCTTCTAGGAACTGAGAATAAGAAAATAAGACATGGTTACACAGGAGGCATGCAGAGAAGCAGATATAATGCAACACAATGTGATAAATGCTAGTGATATTTAAAATAAAGCTGCTATGGGCATTCAGAGAAAGAAGTGACTATCTCTGAAGACCAGTCTTCAAAGAGGTCATTTTTGAGTTGGTTCTAAGTAGATGTTTACAGGTGAAAGGAGAAAAATAATTTGTAAAAGGATGTGGTATCTTTCTGGAAACCAGGAGAAATTTACTGAAATTAAAGTTGAAGTTGAATAAGAAGAAAGATAAAAGATAAACTAGTTTAGATATAATAAAATATATTATAAACAGCATGATGTTAGTGGGAACTTTTCATCATGGAAAAAGTATGATTGTACTTAAAAAGCAGAACTGGGTAGATAAGAATTTTCTAGAACGGCTGAGAGAACACTAAAGTCGTGAGGTGGAGTAGCCAGCTCTGATGAATGTTACTCAGAAGCTATAGGACTGCCCACTAATTGGGTTTAGGTGCCAGGGAAAGGGCGCTCTTGAGAATGACTCTCTAAGAACCTTCTTCAGACATAAAGTAATATAATTAATCATGATCTAGAATGTAAGGGTTATTGCAGATTTGAGAGTGGAGCGATATAAGCAGCTATATAGTGAATTTACAAATACACCCAGACTTATCAGTAAATATAACATGAATATTTTTGTAAAATATATAGAATAATAACTAATTTGAAAAACTGTATTCCATTACATATTTTATCTGTAAATTTCAACTATTTGGAATATATGTGTATTTAGAATCGCACCTGTTGCATTTGTTACATGAAAATAATTTCTTTCTGGAAAAATGAGCCCTAATTCTCCACCATAGTCCATTGCTCTCCCTCTTCCTTTTGCTCTTTACTCCCACTTCCTCTACGAACACCTCAACTTTAGAGTAAGATTTCTAGGATTTGTTTTTTAAGCCTCAATTTTTTTCAGTTTTAAATTATTAGCTCACAGTTTTAAATTATTAGCGAGTAACTAGTTTCTATTGAGCTACTACTAATATTGTTAATGTACAATTTTTTGAATATGTTTAATTACAAGCAGATAATTATAGTACTATTAATGGATGATGTTTATTTTAAAATTTGAGGTAGCACTAAATACTTTTTCCCCGTATTTTCATCTTTATAGCATTTACAGAAAATTCCAGTATCTACTAAATCCTCGTCAGGTGTACAGTCTTGCTGGAAGTGGACCAATGCCAGGGTAAGTTGAAGGATAATATTATTATCATTAACTCATTCTTTACTAATGGATTAAATAAGCAGCCTAACATAGAAATAGTTTTATTTGAACATAGGGATCAGATAGGTATAAAAGTATCGATTATCAGCTACGTAAGTTAAACTAGTGCAGATATTTTTCTAAATGGTCTCTTCAAACAGTTCTTCCATTGTAAATATTGAGAAGCAATGCTAATACTAGTATTAATACTAATAATAACAACATACACTGGGGTGCTTAAACATCTAAAGAAGTATTATTTTCCTTTCCTTTGCTTGTAAAATATGGAACACATATCTACTGCAAAGCAAAAGAAAAGCTAGCTAACAAAGTATTGAAATCATTTAAATCATTTACTTAAAGTGCTGATGAATATGAATGTTGTATAAGATATTTTATTTTTTTTATATATATATTTTATTTTTTACATCATTGTTCATTTTTAAACAATATTTGCTTCCCCCCACCCCCTCAGGTGTAGTCCCCATAGAGTTTCCTTCACCAATGCATCCGTGCAAGATATTTTATTTTTAATATTTAAGAAGTAGTAACACATACTTTTATATGGTTTTATTGAATTTTTACATGTTTCATATAATTTTGTGTGATTTCAACACATGTCACAAGTATGCACTAAAATAAATCATCGTTAATTTGTCCTGGTTAACTAATTAATGTCATTTTCTTCTCCTAACCTTTTGTCACTATTTATATGAGAATAAACATTAAACCAGATGAAGTGGAGAAAAGCGCTATAAAACTTATACAAACCTTTTTAAAAAAAAAATCATGACTAAAATAAGTGTTATAGGTTATTAAAATTGTTGACATTAAGTTTAATAAGATTCATAGCATGTGTCTTACATTAAACAAATGTAAATTTATTGAAAAACAAGTGAAAAGCAATTAGAATAGATCTCCACATTTTTATTCATCAGAGTCTTCTACTTCTGCTACCTTCTGTCTAGGGCCAGTATTCAAATGCTGAACAGTGATCTGTGGAACCTCCTTGCTGTAGGAGGCAGGCTTATGGTAGGGATTTAGCTCTGAACACTGCCTTTTCAAGCTCCACATGTCACAATGTATAAAATCTTGATCAGATCATTGGCTAGGTGAGCCACATGCAGAAAGTCCCAATGTAGATGAAGACAAGCAAAATTAAAGTCTTGACATTAATACAGATGGCTCTTTTCTTGTTCTTCAATATTCTCTGAACTTCAAAAAAGTTGGTCTTTGATGTACAGCAGGTTTCAGAAATTGAGCATTCACAAAAGTTAATCTCTTCCATGACCTCTGTAGCTGCACTCAGACCAAGTAAATCTGGGATTTGTCTGTATTTCATTGTTGAATGGAATAACATCTGCACTATTAATTACAAGTCTCATAACCTCTGTCTTTATTGTCTTTTCTGTAAAGTGGGACAAATAGTAAGTTCCTTATAGGATAGTTGTGAAGATAAACAGGTGATGAATATGTAGCATATAAAAGTCTGTTTTCTATATAATATGCCCTTAATGTTATTTGCCACTAATTTTTTTATACTAACATTAACTAATAAATAAAATGACTGTTTTGTAGTTCTAAATAAGTAACCGGAATAATGATTTTAGCCCTTTTTTATCATTTCATTATTTTCTACTCAACTTTGAATATATATTACATGTTTCACTTTACCCATTTTAGGCAGCCCCTTGTTCTCTATTCTGTTTTCATATACTAAAAAAAAATGTATATACTTATACAAATCCATGCTCCAATCGATACTATTTAGAGAATAAATTAAACATCCTACTTCAAGTATTACCAGTTCTCAGGGATTATCACTGTCAATTATTTGTATGTAACCTTCCAGATCTTCATCTATATAATAAAGATTAATGTATGTATATAATGTATTCATATATATTATTATAGAGATATATTTTTCCATAACTTGGAATATAACTATTTTATTGTTGTTCAACTTGATGTTTTTATTCAAGAATATATGTGGATATATCTTTGAGATACTAACCAGTTCCATTATTTTTAAGAACTGCACAATATTCCATAGTTTTGTTAGCTATTCCATTCTTTATGAACATTTAGATTGCTCACAGTTTTAAATTATTAGTGAATATGCAAAATTAACATTTTTATGTGAAAAACCCTTCAAATATTTTCATACAATAGGTTTGATATTAGTAGAATTACTTGAGAATATTTTCAATTTTAATCTCTGGTTATGCCAAATTGCTAAACAAGCAGTTTATATTGATTTAGAGTCTCAGCAACACTATATAATGCTTATTCCCCATAACCTCCTTTAAATTGGTGTTCTTAAATTTAAAAAGTTAAAAAAGCTTCTATTTTGGACCAACATGCCAGGGAAAAACACATCCTTTGTCATTTTTGTTTGCATGCTATATTCATTATAAAGTTGAATATAGCATAATTAGATTGACCTTTCTATAAGCAACAGAAATATACTCTAACTTATGAACCAAAATGTTTACTAGAAAATTATGAATTGCTTATAGAATTAATGGGAAAATGAAGAACCATATTTCAGAAAATATAGGAAATAGGACTTGATGAAATGGAGTATCAGAAATAAAAGGGTAAAGTCCTGTGGGAGTTACCCCTCCCTGTGGGAGTTACCCCTGGAAGGAATTGATTTCTGTTACTTTTCTGTTCTTATTTCTCTGCTTAGGGTGCATAAAAGGGAGAAACATATTTGTTGATCTATCTTGTTTCTTGTGGGACAACCTTGGCTCCTTTGGGAAAGGCAATCTTGACGGACAGTCCTGTCAAGTATATATGTTAATTGTTTGTTTCCTTGAGGCCAATGGGGATGCTATAACCAACCTGTGGATCAAAGATGAATTCATGATGGAAATCAAGAGTAGGTTTTCATTGTAGTTTAACCATTGGGTGAATCTCTCTCCTTTGCTGAACATATAAGTTGGAAAATAAATATACCAGTCAACATATTGCTAGTACTAAACACATTTCCAAAAACACATAACCTCCTAAAATGTAGACAACCCAATGTCATACATCCATTCTCAAGTCCTCTTTAAACATATCTCTGGAGGTAACTGATTTTTCATTTTTCATCCATTTGGTCTCAATATACAGAAAGACAAGAAGGAAATTATAAATCTAGCTATAATATGGATTTGATTGAACAATATTTTTAATAATATAAAAAGTAAAATATATGTAATGTTTATTATTTCGCTTTAGCAACTGATTAAATGTTGTAGCTGAGATGTAAAATATTTATTTTCCTTGTATGTTGGCTGCTTGGAAATGTTTGCCAGTGCAATGATTCAAGTATCTTTACCTGATAGATATGAGACTTTGGTGGCATTGTTTGATTTGGCTGATACTAATAGATGCTGTGGCACATGACATTATTGATGGTGTTTATCAAATATTTTAAGGTCTTATCCTAGGGACTTATTTTGTATTTTAGTTATTTTCACCCTATGTATTGAGAGTGGTCATGTGGCTTTCTTTCATAATAAATTGTTGGTGGCAAGTAGATTTTTCAGTTTCTTTTCCTTTTCCGAGGTGACGAGCAATATTCTAGATATTGATTTTTTTTTAAATTGGATCATTGAGTGAAGGCAGGCAGAGAGAGACCATTCCATACCCTAACTCTCACCACAATTACCCATCTATGACACCCATAGAATGAGTAATACATGCTTCTATAAAGGCATGCCACTAGGGTTTTGGGCTTTTATTACCATATGTAACCTGACGAAACTGGTAAGAGTAGAAATCCTGGTTTTTTCTCCCTATTCCCATTATATAGTGGCAAACCTGTTTCTCCTTGGAAATCATAATCAGTTACACCAAATAACAAGATATCATCATCTATTTATCTACTGCTATGAAGAGCATCAAAATATCCATGTGTCAATTTCAACCTCTAATTCAATGAAAACTTTATCATCTTATATAGTAGTATTCCTATGTCCTTGGTGTCGAAACATCTAAATCACAAGATTTTAAAACTGAGAGAATGGGAAGCAAACTATTTAAAAATAGATATATTACTCAGATAAATGAAACCAGTAGAATATATGGAGAAATATTTATTTTAACAAATTGACTCACATGTTATGTAGGCTGACAAATTCAAAATCTGTGGGTTTTGTTCCTGTTTGCAAAGGTTGACAAATTACGTATACCAGAAAAAGCCAGTATTTCACTGTGAAGGCTATTAGATTGGGGAATTCTTTCTTGGGACAAGGTCAGCCTTTTGTTTTATTCAGTCCCTCAAACAATTTTATAAGGCCCGCTTCCATTATATAGGACAGTCTGCTTTACACAGTCTACCCATTTGACTGCCAATCCCATGCAAAAAAAAAAAAAAAAAAAACACTCAGAGAAAAAAACAACAGAATAATGCCCTGAGTAGAGATCTAACTATCTGAGTGCCCTGTGGCCAGTCAAATTGACACAAAAAATTAACCACCAGTGTTTCCAGACCATGTTTTGTGAATTGTGTGAAGCTATGTCATATAACCATATAACTCAGGGCATGGGCTACAGCTGTTTGCCAGTACATCGTCTAAGTGCTTGCACTGAATCAGTGACTGAGTTTTCAGTAAACAGTTCCAATGCTCTATTGACTGTTTGCTTCTCCTTGATAAAATATATAAGAAGCCCTTTAAGTCTAAGCAGTCATCAACCCGCTGTTTTTCTTCCTTCTCTGTGAAATGATTTCCTTGGAAGAAGAAAGCCATATTTGAGACACTCTGATTGTGTAAAAGGTATTCAGTAAGTCAATTGCTATGACCATTGAAAGGCATAATGGGAAGGAAAAGTAAATTCAATTGCTAAACGACTGTCTAGTACAGTGAGGAAAATGGCTGCACTTGCATTATAGAATGGGCCCAGTAAATTTAGGCTGCCTCTAAGTCACTGGCTTAGGTTCCCTTGAGGAATAGTAACATATTGGAATTCACTAATTGGTTCCTTTGATG